TGCTCTTCAACCCTTTGAATCGATTGTTTAGTCTAATTTTTTTTCCAGTTTCAACTTCAGGAATTCTTTGATTCTCAAAACTTGAATTAATACCCCAACAATCAGCTCTTTCATTTACAACCCCCTCGAGAGGTTTGGCCCTGATGTCTACAATATCTTTTGAAGCAGTTTCTAGAAGCATTGACACAAAGCTTCCGCCTTGCGCCCGAGAAAGTGAAGTATTTTTTGGCTATGCACTCCGAAACGAAATGCAATGTAATAAATAATAAAGTTGATTGATTGATAATAATATCATGTGAATACGGTCACAACGGTCTCACTTTGTATAATATAACTACTCAAATTGTAACGTATTGAAGAGAGTTGTAACGACACTGAATCTGTCTTGCAATCAGAACAGCCACCGGGCCCCTTTGAGGACCAGGCCCTGGCGCGCGGCACCACTCGCACCCCCTGTTGCTACGTCCCTGATAATAATAAGTCTTTCGAAAGAACGCATGTGAACTGTTTCAGTTCAGTTCAAGTGAGTTATTTCAGATAGTTCAGATTGAAAGAATATCACACCGAAGCGAAATGATTCAATATCGGTTTCAGGTCAATTCTGTACAAGTGTGGATCCAGGGGGGTCATGACCCCCGTCTGGGCACAAGTCGACCAGTAATTTTTCTGTGAACTTCCTGCTCAATTTACCAAACGAATGTAATATAAATACATACATACATACACGTCACGTTGCACATCACGAAAATACAAGGCTGGAATTGATAAATTGTATTGCCTACAATAATTACGTTATGATTTGTTTTATATTTTTTTCTGAATATACAAAGTGTTTTTATAATCATTGGTAAAAAATCATTGGGGGATTCCTGATGTATTTTTATGAAAAAAAGTTCATATAAATATTTGTCGAAAAATGCTTTCCAAGGAAGCTACGCCGCTTCGAATAGTTCATCCTGAAGACGACGAATCTATTCATTTAAAAATCATGAAATTAGGTATATCGCGTAAACTTCAAAAGCTAGATCACAATGTGAGCTGAGAATTTCATTATCTGTCAGGGACGAACTATACTGAATGAGTTGAAAGTAAAACAATTTTTTTTTCCACATTCTAATTCTGAAATATGATAACTGAAGGCTTTTCACGTGGAATGGAAAAAGGTACTTCTACTTCAAATTGATAGGGCTAGTTGTTTTCGAAAAAATCGCAATTTTGTACTTGCAAAATTACCATGAAAAATTGAATTGTTTTTTACCCTAAGCCCATTCGGTATGGTACATCCCTGAATAAGATTTTGATCTTCTGAGCAGAAATTTTGATTCAGCTGTAACGGCCTCCATTTCTGGGGCCCTTACTTTGTCGCTTGTCCGGACATCTGATACTACTCCGGTACTTGTCGGAGGGGTCTCGGGCGCCAGATTGTTTATGAGGTGGTTTTCTCCACCTGCTCTGCGCAAAACTATTTCAGTACAGATGCCCACAGTAGCAACAGTGGAGACAGGTACAGGAGGTATACCTACCTCGGTAACTAAGGAGCCGAGGCAGTGTAGGCTTTGATTACAAACCCTGGCTTTAGCCTGGAATATTGGTTGCTGTTTTTATTCTGGATAATTACAGGAATCAGAGCAAATATCTTCGTCGAAAACGGGTGTCTGGTATTTTACGGCTAGGCCTGGAAAATTATTTATTCAAACTATCTCATTGAGGCTACCTGGAGAATCGGAAACATAGTTCCAAATGAATTGAACATATTCAATTCATATTTATCTTTCTTTCTCCTTCGATTTTCTAATTTTTGTAATATCCATTTATGTCAAAATTTTATGAACCACAGACCACAGCCTACAGGATACCAAGCACAGGGACACCGGCGCGCAGGACTGGAATGCTCAAGGAAAAGAAGAAAAAGAACTGACAGCTGGCTATGTCAGTGTCAGCCGTCAGTGGATAATAATAATAAGCAATTTGACAAATGAGAATATTGTAAATCATCAAATAAATTATTGGAACTATTCGGAACTGAAAACAATGATAACAGAGAAAGAAATATGAAATCTGCAATCACAAAAAAACCGTTTTTTCGCAAATACAAATTCCTGGGTTTGTTACACAGGTCGAGTGAGTACCGGTATGAAAAAAACAACAGGAATGAAATGAATCTATAAACAGGACGAATAAGAATGGTGAGAGCGGGTTTATACAGCAAATGAAATGAAATGAGAAATAAGATGAAATTATTTGATGAATAAGAAATAATGGGAGTAGTTTATACAGAGGAATAAAATGAAATAGTGATCAATAATCAACCAACGACTGTCGTGGACGACAATATTAGAAACATCCCAATCATCATCAATGTAATATCATCTATCAATTTTTATACCAAAAAGACCGTAAAAGTTCAAAAACACTTCATATTCGAAAACATTTTGAGGTAAAAGATTATTTGTGACATTTGTATTTATTTCAAATGTCACTTCAGGCACATGCGCATTTCTACTGTCCCAATAAGATGAAATTAAATAAAATGAAAGATGACGTTGACTAACCTTTATTTTATACCTTATTTCTCATTCAACCTTAGTTCTTGTATGAACGTCTTCATGGCAACACGTATGATCAACTTTATTAAATTGTTTTATTTTATTTCTCATTTTATTTTAATTGCTGTATAAACACGCTCTGAAAAATATTATACAAACTTACATGTGCATCACGAAATCACTATACATTAATACTTCAACACTGACTTTGAATGAAATATGGGAGCACTAAGAGATCAGCAAGAGAACCAGGAGAGACGCAGGTGAAGAGTAGAGCGTAGAGAATAGAGAGGAGAGATTGTAGTGCGCGATCCTCAAGATTATTTCTGTATTTATACTTTCCATCAACCTCGGTACAAGGACAGCTCAATCCTATAGATTCTTATTGGTCGGAATGCTCAACTATTTCTGCAGGAACCAGCATCCAAAAGCACATGTTCTTAAACTCACAAAAATGCGGAAAAAATGATTTTCAACCCTGCATGGGAACATGAACAGAATCTTCTACCCTTGCTGATGCTACTGAATGAATTTGACTCGAAAATATCCAATAACATAAAAGTTATGACCAGGTAAACATCCATCATTTTAACAGATGAATAATTCATCCAAATTTCATATCATAAGTTGTAATGATGTTTATCGGAGTTTACTATCAGGAAAAGCTTTGAAAAGTCAGGAATCAATGAATTACTCTTTCAGGTTTGCAGGTTTCGAGCTTTCGAACAAGTGAAATTCAACTAGAAACAGTCTCAGGTACCTACATATTAATCAAAACCAGTCTAGTATAATGAAGCTGGTTCAAAAACACTACATCACGCATCTTTGAGATTTCATGCGATGTATGTATACATTGTACAATTGTACATACCTTATTTTATGATTATAATAAATTGATTTGAAAATGTTGGGGAAACGTCGTGTTCAGGATGTAGTATTAGGAGGGCGTAGCTCCCATAGGAAGCATTTTCCATCAAATATTTATAGAATTTTAATATCTTTAGTAATACTGACTTCAAAATATTCGGGTTTCAAATCGATAATTTGCATAATTGTTACAAATATGTCAGTTTAACAGTTGAAATGATTCGACCACGAAGAGGAAGGACTATTCTGTTAAACTGACACGATTTGTAATTATTGTGCAGAAAGTTTGAGGTGTATAACCTTGAAGATTTTGTTCGAATTGTATTCGATGCGATTATTTGTTGAGTAGTCTGAACGATCGTCATAATTTGACGACGCACTTTGTTTGTATGTAACAATATGAATTAGTTACTATAAAAATGGAAATAATTCTGAATGTATGATTGGTGCAGCTCCTATGTATTTCCACGTATATTCGTAATTATACAAGGTAGCTCAACTCAATTGCACGTTCTGATTGGTTTAAAATCATACGAGAAAATAGCATACCATTTTTTACCAACGTTCAGAAAACATAACATAACATGCAGTGCTTTCGTTCCCTTTGAGTCAAACCCAACCATCTATTTCTGAGAAATCTCTTGAAACAGGTCGATTTTCAATCTCAATTTGACACAATTATAAGGAAAAATCGAATAAGTACGCAGGGTGATCGACGTTTAAGTAATGACGTCCTTGACAATTTGTTAGAATGGAACACCCTGTGTATTACTAAAGTTTTGGAATCTCCTTGGAAATTTGAATTCAGGAACATTTAGGGTTAGTGAACAGTGCGTCCGTTGAATTCAGTGCTCTCGGCGTGCAGCAGTGAAAAACTATTGAAAATTGAAAGGAATACTTTTTGGAAAGGACGCCCGAAGCTGTCGAATTCAATTTTCATTTGGCCAATATTTCTGATTTGAATGATACAGACATAAAGATTCGTGTAGGAGAAATTATTTCTTCAATCGTATTTACGAATATATCCATTATAATTTTCGACTGATAATTGACACATATACAAACCCCGGGGACAAAACCGATATGAAATATATATAAATATAAAGTTTTCCCTTTGAAAATATTTGTCGTGGACATCATTATAACTCAAATTCAAAAATACTACTGAGAATCATTTTGAATTGACATCTGCAATTTCTGAGTTCTTGATACTCAAAACCCATTTCTGCTTATTCCTCGAGGTATTTTTGATAACTGGGAACTTAATGTGTTTCGAAATTTATTCACGAACACTTCCTTAGGATGAAGTTCCTGATTAACTTATTGAATTGACAATGTATCGAAGGGAAAAGAAACAAAGATCAAATGTCTTCATTTAGATATAGAACACTGATTCACTGATTGAAATCGCATTTCAAGCTTTCTAGGAATGATTTCCAGTACGTTGTACCTACGGCTTTCCTTGTGATATTTTCAGTCAAAATTGTATAGATGGATGAATTTTGTTTACATCAATCTGGCCTGTTTCCTTTTAATTGACATATAATTAGATCATTGATTGATATATCGTTATTTTTTGTTTTCCAGTTGCTCTCTATCATCGGCATCATCATTGTTTTAGCAGTAAGAGTTGATATCAAAACTGTTGTGTTCGATTGGCTACCAAAATGGGCAGGTATGTATATTATCAAAATTCGTTGTAAGAGGAAGCAGCTATAATATCGGGACATACCTAGAGCATGATTGTAATCAAGAGAACTTTCTTTCTACTAGATTTATGCAATTATCAGTATTAATCTGATCAAAATGAAGAGTGAAATACAGAAATGAGAATATTTGAATATTTTTATACTCCAAGGGACTGAACAGCTTCACTTCGATCGAAAGTTCCGATTGCTCAGAATGAGTATAAACGATAACATACAGAGTGGATCAGAAATCATGTTTCAGTACTGAGGCTCGCATAAATATCACTGATTAGTTTGTTTTCAGATGAGATAATAGAATATCATCCCCCTAATTAGAAAACCAATCAACTCTTGAATCACGATATGATGAGGAGGCTTATAAAACTGATTTCAGTTTCGTAATGAATTTTGGGAGTTTCAAGATTTTTCACATGATTTTATATGCGGAATTGGAGATACGAGTTTTACTTGTCTTTAATTATACAGGCGCTTTTGAGTTCTACATCCTGTTGAAAAATATGCTTCACTGAATGTGCTATCATGTGACTGTGGAGTGTAGAGTATAGAACAGGTTAACACGAAGTTTTCATGATAATTTTCAACAGAAATGCTACCTACCTAACCGGAAATCAAATTTTGATACTAAACTACTCAACACTAATTTCGTCGCACACCAAAATGTCGCCCCTGTTATAATGTGAATAACTTTTTTCAGTTCAGAACAATTTGAATTCGGTTCACACTGTCCGATAGCCCAGTCCTTCAGCTATAATCTCGTACTTCATTGAAACATAAGGGTATTCACATAAAATCTCTACATGGTGTTTTCCGACACTGTGCAAAATTTCGGAATATTCAAAAGGCTCTCAAATGGTGAGCTCAACGTTATCACGGAGGCAGCTGTTTCCCTGAGACCTCAGGTTCGGCTGACCGAAACCACAAATATGCGGCTGGCTTCTGTTTGTTGACTCCGTTCATTTGTTGTTCCGCTCTCCACCAAGTGCTACCTATCCTTTGCACTTGCTTTCACCGTACTGATGAGGGCCGTAAACCCGAAACACGTGTATACGGATATCTCTTTGTGAGGGTTATGTCCAATAATCTCTTCCTAGTCCCTTTACAGTTCCCTCGATAATACTTCTTATTACTACCTTATTATTCGTACTTCTAGACACGGATGTCACGCAGGTAGCAATAGCTGCCTCCGTGGAGACGTTAGGCTGTTTCCCGTTCACAACACGGTATATACAGATTCAGTGAAAAGTATATGTATAGTACGACCTATGTATCAAAGCAACAATTCATCTTTCTTCATAAATGGAAATGACAGTAGTATAAATTAGAGTCCCTGTATATACCATAGACAAGAGTCCGGACACAGCTATACTTCTGTCCTTTTCTGTTTTCAAAAAATGCATTGATGATTGAATAAAGGAATAGGACATATATATCGAGCTCTGTCTTTTCAATTCCCCTAGAATCAATTATTGTCAGAAACAATTTTGACGGTTAGATTATTTGTCAAAACGTTTATAGCCATAGGTAGAAGTGAGAAATAGGGCTATTTCAACTAGAATAACTATTAAATTTTCAAATAATGAACAACAGGGTGTTCAAATTTCGAATCGATAATTTCCATAATCGATCCCTGAGATGGCTATTGCAAATTTTCGTCATCAGATATTTCTTCACTTTATTAGATATAAGGAAGATAATTTGAGTGTTCTACGTGGTATCACATATAGCCAAGAAAATATAGTTGTTTTCTGTTGGGATATAAAAAAATAAAAGATATATAATTGTTTCAATATAATTTTCTCCGATTCTCTCAATTCAATAACACTCATCAGAAATAATAAAGTGACAAAATCAAAACAACAATATATTTGATAGCGAGTGCTTTATTGATTGTGTCCGAGGACTGTGTCGGTTTCCCACCTCTTCCTGCAGTCTACATTCTCCTGTAAATTTTGAATTTGATCTGAATTAAAAACACCGTGGACAGATGACATAGCACATTGCAGTTTCTCTAAATCTTCTAGTTTTGATTTCCAACTTTCAATTTCTTTCCGCATCATCTCATTCTCATTTTCTTTCTCTGCGATCGTATCATTCAGTAATTCCCAATACGATGTCGACGGAACTCTTTTTTTGAACGTCTCTATTTCATAAATTGACGGCACAGCAGACTCTTTCAATTTGAAATTCATCAGCTTGAAAGATTCTCTATCAAAATGGGCCTTAAATTTTTCTTTTTTGTACTGTTTTTACAAGTGAATTTGAATATTTACCTCACATATTGCGGATTTCTTGAAATTAATTTTCCATTCTGGACGTTTCATTGCATTCTTCCATGACCATTCGGGAAATTGAATAACTTGAATCCCTTTTCTAATGAATTATCGCGATAATGTAGGCAGCAGGACATTGAAATAATTCAAAATGCAAAATTTTAGCGGTCATAAAATTTCAAAGTGACAGACAGAAATTCGAATTAATTTAAATAAGCGAGCGGACGACTATGGTGTTTTGTCACATTGTCAGGTGGGCAAACCAAATGAAACAAAATATTAAAAACCCCAACGGCTGTCAGTTTTGTGTCCGGACTCTTGTCTAAGGTAGGGTCCCTTGATGGAAATTGACGTTAAAGTCATCTTAACAGGGTACGGACAGATCCTCGTCTCCTCTCACTCTAAAGCGTTTGTGAAACAGTTATATAGTTCCATCCTTATTCAATTCTGGGGATAAACACTAGATTTTTGACATTCGTTGTTTTTTAGGTTATATTGAGGTCACTGGCGTATCATACGTAATTTCCATATGGAATTCCTGATTCAACTATACCAAGATATATAGATGAACAATCCTCTAGTTCTAGAGTTTACTACTCCAGCATAATCTCTGCGAGGTAGGAAACATATAAATTGTACTGAAAGCTTATAATGTATTTCACCAAAAGAGACTGTTCTTAGACTGTATACCAGGGTTGACTGAATTGACTGAATGAATTCTGATTTCAAGCTGAGCTGTAGTTTTTCTATGAGCTGAATGAGCAGAGCCTTATGATTGAAAAATGGTGGAAACCTCGATGTGGGTATCTAAACTACTGCAGGTATATACTCATGTCATATTTTCGGAAATCCAACTCGGAGAAGAATTTATGGAGTTACTAATATCACACTATATATGTACAAAACTTCGTCTAGGACGAAAAATATGCTGATTAAAATGAATACGTAAAATATGTAGTAAAATAAAGAAAAGAATATACTTTACTTCATTTTTTCGTCTCCCTCGAATAAAAAGTCATTTTCGAATAATTTATTGATGAAAGTAACAAAGAAGTAGGTATGCGCAGTATAACTCATAGGCACGCTATTTTCCCTCTTGCATCCTACATATTTTCTATTTGTGGTAGAGTAATAATTATATAAACTAATGTCTTTTGCCATATTGGATCCGTCATCTTGAATTTCCCAATTTTTACGATACAATCATCATTTCCTACCCCGAATACCCCCAGACACCAGTTTTGAATAAAATCGGATCTTCATTACGAAACAATCCACCATATTGGATCCGCCATCTTCAATATCCCAATTCTGACGAAATAATTATAATCTCCGACTCCGGAAATCCCCATATACCAATTTTGATTTTTATTGGATCCGCTATCTTGAATTTCCCAATCTTGACTAATCATAAAGTTCGACCCCGAAAACCCTCAGATATTAATCTCAAATAGAATCAAATCATAATTAGAAATTTATTTCGCTATATATTGGATCCGTCATCTTGAATTTTCCAAGTTTGACGAAACAATCATTATCTCCAACCCCGGAAAACCCCAGATATCTTCCAATTTTGAATAGAATCGGATCATAATTACAAAACTCGTTCGCAATATGATCTTCCTCAACAAGTGAATACCCTGTACATACCTATTATCAAAATTTATAAGGTGGATTTATGCAGCAACATTTAACAATTATCAAGTAACATTTATCATTTAACAAGTAGCAATCAGAAGTTCAACTTCCTGTTTTCAATGAGGGTGTTTATGCAGACATTTAACAATTATCAATTAACAAGTAACAAGTAAGAAGTTGGCCAACTTTTAACTTTCTTACTTTAATTGAACCAGGTTTTCTTCTAGTGCGCAAATGGTACGCAGATGACCGCGGATTGGTTTAATCGACTGATAGAGAATGCATGAGATTGGTCAGATCTTGAGCCTGACAGATGTCATCAGATGATGACATAAAAAAACTGACAGTTTATAACATGATTGTGATAAAAATAAACTCATTCTCTTCTAAATCCGGAAACATTTTAAATTTCAAAATTTGAGCCACTTCTGTAAATTCAAAATTGTAAACAACAAATTTGAAAGGTTATGTTTATGATTTTATTTCGAGCATGTGCGCTTGCGTACTTTTTATTCATAAATTGTTAATTTGGTATGCATAAATGTCAATATTCCCATCACTTGTTAATTGATAATTGTTAATTGATAAATGTTACTTGATAATTGTTAAATGTTGCTGCATAAATCGACCTTTGAATGATTTTCTGTAGCGCCCATGGATGTGAGGTGACAGCAGTGTCAGGGATGCCAGTAGACAAAACTGAAGTCTCTAGATCATTAAAAAAGAATGCAGCTATGATCTGTCCGTACCCTGTTAGATGACTTTAACCGTTGATTGATATATTACGCTTACGCTGGGAAGATGCCCAACCTTATGGGGCAAAACGAGGTCCAAAAAAATCTCACAACTAGATGGCGTACCATAGTTCGAAATCTCACATAGTGGCGGCGATAGTGTCGAACGATGTCGGAGCAATAGTTCGTAATTTGACGGGCAGGTGCGCCACTTACGAAGAGAATCTATTGGAATGCAGATGGCGTGCGACTTGGAACAATTAAACAATCCATAATCCGGAACGCTTGTATATCGAATCCATGATCAATCAGTACGATTCTGACTAATATGGCGGTAAATTCGAATTTGTTAGTATTAGTTGTATTTCTTTTATTCGTCTGAGGCTTCTAACGAGCGCATCACGGACGTGAGATCATGCGATTGTGGAATAAACTGGTCAGCGGATATCAATATATAAACTGCTCATAAATTTGATTGAAATTCACGAACCCGGACCAGTGTTGTCACCTTAGTGTATTTTACCCTAGAACTGAATCTAAAATGGGTCTGTTTGAGTGGAATTCCATATTTCATTATGTCGAATTACTAAATCAAACGATAATTCACTGTCGCAAATCATTTTCTTGTCAGAGCTATGTACAATTTTTGAAATTTTTATTATTGAAATTACTGATATTTATCACATGAAAAACGCGGAACATTGCGTGACAATTCTATACCGCTATCAATCCAAAGTATTTTATACTGGTATATGATCCGACCTATGTATTGCCGAAACTTAGAGTGCCAATAATTTCCTTTGATTTATGTGGGGCGGCCGACTCGGTGCGTTTGTCGGCGATAGGGATGCCAAGTCGTCCTTTATTGTCGCCCTAACAACACAATTACATCCTGGGGACTTCCCAGGGACGTCCCTGATTTTATACAAGGACATCCCAGAGATATCCTTTGTCGGGACAGAGTACATACTATAGGGACGCCCCAGGGACATCAGCTGGCTGACAAAAAAAGCATCCAAGGGATTTCCGTCTGGTACGTCCCTGGGATGTACCAAGTACGAAGAAAGGATATCCCTAGGAGATCCCAAGGATATTCCAGGGACATCTCTTCGACAAAAGAAAAAAATGTAGGTCGAGTAGGGCTTGAACCCGGGACCTTCAGCTTTTTCAGGCACGCACCTTACTCCATTGACTGATATGCCTTCTGAAGATTTATGTACCAAACAGATTTTTAAACAGGACCAAACTGCAGAAACCTGAATAAATACAATACTTTGTTAGGATTTGGGTATAATTATTATCATTCGTGGATGTTTAAAAATGAGGGGCATTATATGCATTTACGATTTCTGTTTGCGAAAAATGGTCATTTCTTGAGAAGTTCTGACTTTCTTTATTTTCATTACAATTATTTACCGGAAAAAAACCAAACATTTTCATAAAAATTCAACTCAAACTCTCAAAGTCAATGACTCTGATGTGAATAGATATCAGAAATACCAAGGACACGAATTGGATAACCTATGGATGTGCGGGACATTCCCTGGATACCCCAATTATGTCCTTGTACCGTGTGACAAAGAGGGGAAGTACCTAGTACATCCCTGTGTTGTTAGGGCGGAGATTCTGAGCGTTCCGTAGTCTGTACTCCGTTTGTTTTGGAGCGGCAAAATCGATTCTACTCAGAAAAGGTTACTGGTATCACAAAATATCAACGCCGATTTCATGATTATATTATATCGTGGCATATAGACTGGAAATGTAATTGTTTTCTGTTGATTTTGTTTTTATCTCAAATATACCAAAAAAGAGTTCATATTTTTCAACAACTAGATACTTTAAAAAATGGTTCATAAGCTTGCAGCATCAACTCTTGTAATCCAATAAATAAATGAATTCTATATATGTTCCAATAGTTATGACTCACTCTGTATATTATGCCTATTATAGATGATGTATTTTATCTCATTTTTACAGTGAACCATTAACAATCAAAGATTCAAAGATATCTGACTATTTATTTTCGATCAACGCTGATGGGACTCTAAGAAATTATCACATTCAGATTGATTATATTATCAATATTTTGTAATGTCTTATTAATACAAAATTTTAAAATGGATACAAATTGAGTAAAAAAAATAATCAACGAAAAAGGCGTGAGATGTTTTTCCAGATAATATACAAATTATATTGGTCTAGGGTATAGGCAAAGTATGACAAGTTATTCACAAGGGAAGGGAATTTAAAAAAACGCCACGGAGTAGGAACCCAAATGAGTGAGAGATCATAATATGTTCTGTTCTTCTCTCCTCCGCAAGGAACCGAGGAAAAAATCAATACTGTCCATGGGATTCACCGACCGTAGCAAACATTTTTTTATCGGAACCGGTCGGGCGGGTCGGGTCTCATCGTAGAAGACAAGGATAAACAAGAATTTCTGGAGCGATAGCACGCGGTGGGATGGGATCTGTAATTCTGTACAAAAGTGTAGTAATCTGTACAATTAGTTCAGACATGTTCTGTGTGCCTAGTGGAGTCGCTACCTCACAGTGGCTACACGATAGACGAGGGGATGAGAGGGGCATCGACTCGCAAATAACACAGGTTGGGCATCTTCCCAGCGTAAGCGTAATATATCAATCAACGCTTTAACGTCAATTTCCATCAAGGGACCCTAGTCTAAGGTATATACAGGGACTCTAGTATGTATAAATATACAGTACCTATAACTGAAATCATTGATACCCTATTTCAGAAGACAATTCGTTGGATCGGTTGGTTCCATAAGGTACCTTTCACTCAATCGGTGATACATATCCATAAGATAAACATAATGAATACTCGTATCTATCGATGGGCGCAGGTTCTGTGAAGGGAGATGATATTGTTGAAACAGTAATCGAACATGTTACATAGTTTGTTTGTTGATATTTAGATTCCATTTTGGTCTCCCCCTGTATTATTTTAATGGCTCAGAGTTCTGAATTATTTTGATATTTATAACATGAATTTTTTTTTCAGTTCAAGTGATAATCGTACTGAATTTGGTAATGACCATCATTCTTTCTACTGTGATGATCATCGGTGTTGTCAGGGTGAGTGAAATTCAAATTCTTCATTTATTTTTTGTTCAAGATCTCAGTATCCCTGCTGTTTCGTAATCTAAGAAAAGGGTAGGTATTCCATGGGTACCATAATATCAGTGGATGATTTTTGGATTGGAGGAAAATCCTCGTATGATTCAGAAGTTACAGTACTGGCCGTTTTTCGGGTAGTTTCCTTCTTTGTCATAGGCAAGGTTTATCGCCGAAAGGAACTATGAACTATGCAAGACAATCACGAACCAAAAGGAGGCGCTAAAAATTACATGGTCTATGGAATATAGGTTAAATGACAAGAATTTGTTATATAATTTTGATGTGAATTCAAGGCCATTGAACGAGGAATATTGATGATGAGCATTCATCATTTCAACTGCCATGCCAGTCATTGAAGACTGCCATGAAATAATCCTTGTTCAACCACCACAGGCCGCATTACAACTAGTAATCGGAGTTCAAAGTTCTGCAAATATTTGTTTAGTCGCGTCCAAATCAGTCTTTTGAATAAGAGTTTCTTGAGGGTTAACTCAACATCCGTTCTGGATATCTGACGCGCTCGAATGCCTTTTTTTTACCAATTCGCTGCCCCCTTCGTACGGCCACCCCCATCAGGCAAACCGGCAGATTAATATTTTTTCCGTTGACCTCGTATAATAACGAGAAAGATTGATGTTTATGAAGAATCTATAAATCATTAATGACCCCTATTAATGGTTAATTGATGCACGATTGTAGCATGCACAGGCAACCAAACATACACCGCGTCAATTCACTGTTTATGCTATAATTTTCGCAATCTGCCTTTGAATCAAGAATACGGATTTCATAGATTTCCCGTTAACGATTTAGCTTCTCCAAGTTTCTGAAACTATTATGGCTCCTGTTTTCAAACACAAGGAATTTATTTGTTATGTTGATTATTTCGACAAATGTCAAATGGCACTAATGTCAGTGACAAAGCTAATGGGTGATTCTTGGTAGTTTCCGGATGAATGATGAATTCGCGAACCAAGTTTTCCTTATTGCAGGAGATGTGATAAATATAGTCGACGAGAAGATATTGTAACTAACTCGTATATTAAAAGGCGATTGATGATCTCTTGATAATCGCCCTTTTTAACACACTATAGTTGGTTAACTTAAACATTCAATTCAAAAGTATTTGATCATGTACAAGAAAAAATCTATAGGTATAGGAGTTATCAGAAGATACTTCAATGTACTTCTTCAGATTTTGACATAAAATATAGTATTGAAAAGGATCCAACGATTGATTTCTAATTCGTACAGCATGATTCGTGAATGTTTTACTTTGAAGGATGTCGAATTGCACTAGAAATTTTATGTGCATTAATTCAGATGAAGAAATCAGCAATCGTTCTTGAAGATGAAGAATGTGTGTGATAAAATGAGTATCAAATACAAAAGTAAATATAATTATTTTTTCAGCGGAATTGGTATATGATGATACCATGGATAGTTCTTGGAGGTATGCTGGCTATTGGTCTACTGGTGTCCATCCTCTACAACAGTATTGTATTTTATATTGATGGAGACAACCTGAATGGGACACTCTGGTTGGTGTTGGGATTGATATCTTTCTGTGAGTTGAATACCTCATTTTATTTTCATATCATATACTGTATAATCGAATAACTTATCAAAAGGAGAACCAATAAGTCACATTCGATACATTTTCAAATGAGAATATTTTAACGGAACACAGTTTTTTCCCACTGGTAGACCCAAGTTTTCGACATATACCTATAATGTTTATGTTCAGTTGATATTAATTTTCATAAAAAATGCAATTCAACTAGGTGGTCATTTACTATAACTGCATGAGTAGAAAAGTGAAGGGTGTACACGAATACGAGATTCATCCTTCAAACATATACCGATTTTCAATCCATTTTAAATTTTTCCATATACAGAGCTTGAAGGGAACACACAAATCACCAGAATGTAAAATCGCAGATCCGTAATCCATCAGAATATACATTTTCAAACCAGTAACTTAACAGAACAATATTTTATAGGAATCGTATTTATCTCTACTGTAGATGCACAGAACCGCAATCCCTCAAACCGTATTTTGTATACTGTACATGAGCATACCAGACAATAACAGATTGCAAATGCGCAGATGTGTATTTTTCTATAATAGTAATATCGCAGATCCGCAAATATACAGAATCGAAAACTAACAAACCAACATCACAGCGGAATGCTATTTCGTCAGAATCATAACAACACAGACCGTAATTCGTCAGAATCGCAGAATGACAGACCGCACATTAGCAGACCGTACTTTGTCAGAATCGAAAAACAACAGACCGTTTATCGACAGAATAGTAAAATGTCAGAACCGTACATTGACAGAATAGCAAAAAATCAGAACAGCATATTCACAGAATCTCAAAATATCAGAACTGTAAATTGAAAGAATCGTAAAATGCTAAAACCGTACATCGACAGACTCGTAATACAACAGACCGTATTCCATCAGAATCATATTATATCAGAACGTACAATGACAGAATGTACTTCATCAAACTGTAATGTCATATACTGTATTGTGATAGATTCGTAAACTATCAGAACCGTAATTCAGCAGAATAGTAAAATGTTAGATCCGTAAAATAACAGAATCGTAAAAATTCAGAACCGTACATCGACAGAATCGTGAAATATAGGAACTGTACGTCAGCAGAACCGTAAAAAATCAAAACCGTACATTGGCAGAATCGGAATTCATCAGAATGTAATGCAGCAGAACCGTAAAATGACAGACTGCAGAGAGGCCTACCAGCCACGCGCAAAGCGAACGCCGGTCACAGTGTTGCCTGCTCTCACGTCATGTGGGGATTCTACGAATACTTTCAGTTCGACCTGCTTTTATGTTCCTATTGCTCTTGTACACTCGAGAATAAGATCGTTCATATGATATGAAGTGATGAATGACCACATTTCAATATGAAATATATGAACGTCACCCAACTTTTTTGCTATATGGAGAAGAAAGTGTTTATTTGAAGTATTTTCTTAAAAACTACAATTCCTTGAAGTCAGTTGAGAGAAGGGTTCGAGAAATAGGTGTTTGGCATGTTACAAGTGTTTGGGATCACACGTTAAAAGGTAAGGCCCCCGTCATTCCTTGCTCGCACAAGACTTTCGAAGACTTCTGAGGGTTGCTCGTAAGGGGGCAACCGAATGACGGATAAAACAATTTTCCAGTTTTTTTTACAACAAACTTTGGAGTTTTCAAAGTTTGATTATAGATACAAGATATTGGATGTTCTTTATATGAATCTATGTCATACCCAAATTCATTCATTTTGTATTTTGTACCCATATTTCTAGAAAAAGGAAGAAGGTGATACGAAACTAGATTGAAATCGAAGTTCAGCTACGGAATTTAGTTTCGAGAATTCTTTATTAACGATAATTAGTGCGGTGCTGTAGATAGGGATTGATAAAAAAATGCTTATACATACATACATATGGAAGCCATTGAATAAACGTTCTTGTAAAACTCACTATGGAAGCTATTAAATAAACGTTCTTGTCTATCTGATTCTGATTCTGATCTATATCAGGTGACCTTGGACCATAGGCGCCACCAGATAAAAATAGGATATAGGGCGGACGAAATTCGAAGATGAAATCGGGTAACCTACGAATGAAAACTGAGTGTGAATACTCAAAGCTAATATTAATCTGTGTAATTCTCGAAATGTCATCTCCAACCATTCAGAACTTGAAGACTAATTTTCCATGATATTGACCATATCCACTCGTCAAAACTGAACCCATCACCAGTTCCTAAGCAGTTTTTTGAACAGCATCTGTGAATCTGAGATAGAACAATCAATGAAACAATAATTGATTTTCGCATTGTCGAGTTTAGACGAAAATGTAGTTTACCTAACAAATGCCGAAAGTCATACTTTTCCGCACCTGTTTATTTAGATATAAAGAAATACATAGAGAATTCGCATTCGGTATGTGATGAAATTATCAATTCTTTCTCAGTATATTCAACAAAAAACAACTACTTTCCTGGCTGCGATTTTACTAAATATACTGTACGCTAGCACAAACCACGCCGACCGTAATATCTCATCTTCGAAGTACTTAGGCAAAACTCAGAAACTATTTATCCTTAACGAACTAACCTATCCCCAGAGCTGGGCAGTACTCGAGTACAAGTACTCAAATATTGTACTCTGAGTACATTTTGTGTACTCAGTACCCAGTACCCGAGTACATTTTCAATAAAGTACCCGGTACTCGTACCCGTAGCATTTCGGGAAAAGTACCCGGTACCCGCGTTTATTAAACGAGTACATTTTCCGGGTACTTTTTGCAAGAATAAACTTGTCTCTGCATATGCGAGTGCAAAACGGGAAACCGCTGTTATAATAATATGTTATATCATCATTATCAGTCAGCACTTCAATCAGAACCAAACGCGGAGTTTTTGTTTTGTACAATGTGTAACAGTTAAAGAGTCAAGTGTTTTTTGTATCGTTTCTGTTGTTTTCTCAAGACTAAACCACACTAAACTAAGAAGTAAGGGTATAGTATTGCAAGTTAAGTTGTTTTGTTTAATAAATATGGTTACTAATACTGATGCAAAATTTCTCAATTCTCTATTCAAATGTACTTGAAATGAGTACCCGTGAAATTCGGGTACTTGTACTCGGAGTACTTTACTCTGAGTACATCCAATTAGTGGGGTACTCGGTACTCTGTACTCGTTCTTCAATTATAAACAGTACCCGGTACCCGGTACTCGAGTACAATTTATCAGTACCCGGCCCAGCTCTGCCTATCCCTGATTGCAATATTTTTGTGGAAGGAAAACCGAATGGAGTGTAGAAACACATTGATTAATAATATATTTCAAAAGTTGAGTTCTTCAACAAAATTGAATAAAATGAGACTGTTTATCCTAAACGCACTAACCTATTTGACTTCAAATATTTTATGAAAAAGGAAAACCAGAATGAAGTAAAAAAACAAAAAAGTTGTAAAAAAAAGTTCAAGTTCACAGCGATTCGAACCATGGACCTTCAGACTGAAAGTCGACAGCGCTAACCAGTAGACCATTTGGGTGTATGAATTTACTGCGTACAGAAAAAACATGTTCAACACAGAAGTGCATTTGCAAAACAGAGGATGTAGTGCGCTGTCCTAAAAATTTAATTGCAGAACAAAAACTCTTAGGAATATCCATACCATTGATCGAGATGAAATGTTCCTCATAAAATTACGCAGTTTTTGATGGGAAAATATGATGTAGTTCATTTGGAATATAATAATATATAATCGAGTTCTTGCTTGTTGAAGATTAATGAAATATTGAGAAATAATATAGGATAGTTTTTGAAAGTGGTGAAATTTTTAGATATTCGGATGATAAAATATGAATTGTCAATACACCATTCGATTGGTTATACTTCAGGCTACAAAATGAGCCCTCATATGTTTTTTTAGCTTCATCCCCATTATTGTTAGACTGCTATTTTTCAGACATATTGAAAAACGCGATCTTCGTACATTTTTCCCTGTAGAAAATCTCTCGACCATGGGGCGATGTCGTAATTTCTCATTATATATGTGGATGATGATGACAAAAAATGTCCTTGATGTTCAATTAAGTTATACCCCATGATTGGGTTATTGAACGATAGACCGCACCGTCTGCAGTACTAAAACATGTTCCATTTTTATGTTGAATACGGAAGCAAATTCGCTCCGGAAACGTCAATGTGAAAATGTACCTAATATTTTTATGGTATTCTTCCTTTTCAAACATTCTTCAAAACAAGGTGTCACTCGTTTTTTCAACAGAATTGAACAAGGATTTCGTGAAATTGGATGAAACCAAAATTGTAGTACTATTGATCCCGATGCGAAAAGTTGGTAGCTCGACCGTAGTAGGCCGGCTAGATTTCGGAAATAAAAAAAAGATTACATTCAGTATTGAGTGATATAATAAATAAGGAGAGTGCCGTAGGCGATTTTTTTCCTTATACAAGGTCAAATGAGAATTGGATTTTCTCCTACCCTTCGAATAAGTGATTATTTTCACCAAAATCATGAGTCAAAAAATTTAAATGGAAAACATATTCATTGATTTTAGAAACTGAACAGGTACAAATCTGGTACACCTACCTTCATTCATACACGTATTGAAAGAACCAGAGAATATCGAATGACATCGGTCTACGAATGATGAAACAAATTTCTTTCCTTCCTGATCTTCTTTCAGTTTGTTCGTAATCCTTATTATCCTAATATCAGTCCCGTGGTATATATACTATTTTCTCCACCACTAGCTATAAAACCTAACATTATTTACTCCTTCCCGAGGCGTGAAGTGTACTTTTACTGCCAAGGTAGTTTTCGTCATTTTATAACCACTAGTCAATAAAGACATAGCCACCCACCTCTGATATAATAACACGAACTCACTGTTCTGATGGCATTTGAATCTGTTATAGGTATTTACTACTAGATTTTTTTTAAATTGAAAAGAAGTGCTTTCATAGTAGCAATAGGTTCATATCTCAGTTCCACAAAAATGTAATGATT